TTTGCTGAAATTTTTCTTATTAACTTTTTCATTCAATACGCTTTCCTTCTGCACTTCACAGACGCTTTTTCATGGTTCCAAAAAAATAAGGAGGCGCCTGACGGCATTCGAACCCGACACCATCTGAAAGCTAACAAATACTAGCGCGCTCCTCTGCACGCTCGGCCACTGCTGACTATGTATACGTGCTTCCAAATGTTCAGCTTAACCCTGCATAAGTAATATACGTAAATTTTACGTGTATGTCGCATAAAATGTCCCGTTATAGTATTGCATAAACAAGTGAATAACACAGGTCTACAAAAAAAAAATCGATGAGAGGTTCCTTTGACCAAACCTAGTCTGTTATAAGTTTTTAGGGTCGCTGAACACGTCTCTGTCACGTAAAATCCGAGATGTTTTTTGAGGTTAGAAAAAAATCTAGAGCTGATGGAGCAAAACGGACTTCAGATTCGTGTTCAGTGACCCCAAAAATATATAACAGACTAGGTTTGGTCAAAGGAACCTTTCATCGATTTTTTTTGTGGACCTGTGTAATTAATCAATTCTCAGTTCGCGGTTGCTTTGATTGTTGTTACAAACAAGTCTGCATGTAGATTTAACGTAGTGTTACTAATAACGTGTAAAAATTTTAACGTAAGTTTAACGTGGTCTTGTTAATAACGTCTAAATATCTGTGGATGGAATTTAAGTTCCGTGTGATTTTCAGGTGAAATTAAAAGAAAAAAATGGAGAACTCAAGTCTTTGGTTTGCGAATGCAGAAATAGAGGCCCTTCTGAACAATATTGGCAGCGATGTAAGTTTTACTGATGTCATCATTGAAGAGAAAGTAGGTTTTAATAGTGACGATAGTTTGGATGATCCAGACTATTCTCCTGAATTCGGGGAAAAGGCTTTTGAAGAGGAATTTATGAAAATCGCGGAGTCCGCCCAGAATTTGGCTTGCAAAAAAAAATATATATATCAGCATCATCAGTACAATTGCAATTAAACGAGAATAAAGATGTATCAAATGCTTACTTTTGGGAAAGAAGGGTCATGGTTGGAGTAGCGATCTAGTGCATCGTATTAGCGGAAAAACTATGGCTATGAATGTTGTTTATATTCGACCAGGTAAATATTATTAAAAACGATGTTTTTTAAACACTGTTATTGAACTAAAACTTAAACAAGGTCCATTGCCTATAGCGAGCGGAGCTATCGAACCGATCGATACGTTTGGCTTATTTTTTAACGACGAAGTACTAAACAAAGTGCTACTGAGAACGAACAAAAAAATGCACAGCTACGAGAAAAATATAAAATCAAAGACTCCACTGTTTCAGATACAAAACTAAGTGAACTGAAGGCCTTGCTTGGACTTATATTTCTGTCCGCAGCTTTAAGAAATAGCCATCTCAACACAGAGCTTCTGTTTGACACTACTTAAACAGGCGACAGATACAAAGCAACAATGAGCCATAACAGGTTTCGCTTTTTGATAAACGCCCTAAGGTTTGATGATCAATTGACAAGAGAAGTACGCATGAAGGAAACTCTTTTTGCTCCAATATCCATGATATGGAACATCTTCATTAATAACTGCATAAAGTCTTACAAGCCAGGATCATATGTTATAATCGATGAACAGCTTGTAGGTTTCCGGGGCAGGTGCCCATTCCGCATGTATATGCCAAAAAAAACCAAATAAATATGGTAAATATAAAGATTATAATGGTATACGATGTAGCGACAAAATATGTAATAAATGGAAGTGTTGGTAAATCCACTGAAACCAATGGTGCTCCATTAGCCAGTTACTTCGTTGAAACTTTGACCAAACCTTTGCATGGAAGTCAACGAAACGTTACAATGGATAACTGGTTTACCAGTATTCCTTTAGCAAAAAAATTACAGGCTAATCCATACAAATTGACTATCGTGGGAACATTGCGCAAAAATAAAGCAGAAACACCGTCAGCGTTATTGAAATCAAAATCTCGCCCAAATGGATCATCAATGTTTGCGTTTGATAACGAAATGACTTTGGTGTCTTACAAGCCTAAACA